AAGATCACGAGTTCACCGGGAACTCTGCGGGTTGCTTGATTTACGTTGTAGAAGTAAAGGGTCGTTGTGCTGTTCACGTGACACGCTCGTTAACAGTCGGCCATAGAAACAGATGACCTTTACATCATATGCCCTTGTAGATCGCAAAATCTGACATGAGTACTTTTATATTATTTAACAATAGGTACTTACCAACTTGAGAACACACGCTGCGATTCAGTAGGTCACCAAGTTCAATTATTGTCTGTTATGAGATTAATGAGAAACCTGATTAGATCTCCGCTATTGATTTTTACCTAATCTAATGTTATCTATCGATCTCATAAGTTTGGCTGTCGACACGCCGTGACAAACAAGGGAAGCGTTCAAAGCATGTCTGTTAACATCGATCAAACACAAATATTTCTAAATAGACTAAACATGCTTAAGGCCTGGGCATGTTTACATATGTTTGTGATATTGAGACTAATGTTGTCCTCCTATTTATATTATATTATTCAAATGAACGTTTCTCTTTTAGACTTTGCTATCTATAGGGCAGATAATCTGTTTCTCTGGTCAACGGTTAACGAGCTGGGTGTAATGTGGCTAGCACAACGAACAACCGCCTATAATTTCCCCATCTTAAGTCAGGTACTCATAACAGTACGGTGGAATCAAAAGAGGCCTAAAAATCCCAGTCTTCTCCGAGATTCGAACCAGGACCCCAGGTTGGTTCAAGACGAGCACATCCCTTTTATGAGCCATGTGACCCGGGAAAGGCTTTTATCCCGTGACCAGGATGAGAAATTGGCTCTTTACCGATCTCTCTGTCATGATACCCCGCGACTAAGTGATCATATAATCAAACACGTCTTGTCATGTTGCACGGTCATCCAAGCCACGACATGAATTCCTCTTTTCATGCAGGGCCGAAGGACCAAGCCCCACGTAGGGGCCATCCTTATGCCTATGCTGTCCCATCGTACCTGTGAGGGGACCATCACCACTCGTTTGGGGCCCGTTGGGGAAAGGGGCGATGGGGGTTTTGACTGGTTAGCAAGCCTTTTTCACATCCCCATCTCGTGCAGGTACACTCGTTAGACCATACAGTGGTAGCTCACTGGGAGCCGTGTTCGCTTCCGTTCTTAGCCTATCCACTTCCCCGGGCGGACGTTTCAACGGAGGTGCCACAATGAGGCGTCGGGAGCTGGTAATCCTCCGCCCCAGGGAGCTTAACCGCTCTGCCACCGCCCCCCCCCATTCGTAAAAGGTTTTATTTAGTTTATTTCTGGTGATAGGGTATACAAACATTTTATCTAATCAAATGATTTTAATTCAAAAACTATTTTACCCCAAAACTTTTCTGAAACAAAAGCTGCTTCTTAAATAGTCCACACTTAAGACTTTGCAATCCACAAGGCGGATCATATCAAACTCATTAGTTTCTATACTAACGGTTAACGAGCGTGCCATATGGCCAGCACATTTACCGTAATATTCTACAACTAATATCCCCCATTAGAGTTGCATGACGTCCTAAAAATGCCAGCTTCGACTGGGATTCAAACTCACTCCCCTCAGTATAAGAGTCAAACGTTTTATCTCTGGGTCAAGACTCCCCTTTCTAAAATACTGCTTATAAATGTATACATTGTTTTATGCGGACATTGTATAAGTTGGGAGGCGCAGTGGCTGAGCGGTAAAGTGCTCTTGGCTATAGAACCGAGGGTCCGGGTTCGAATCCTTGTGAAGACTGTAATTTTTAATTTCAGAATCTTTGGGCTCCTCTAAGTCCGCCCAGCTCTAGTGGGTAACTGACATTAGTTGGGGAAAAGTAAAGGCGGTTGGTCTTTTTGTTGGCCACATGACACCCTCATTTACGTGGGCCATGGGCCTTTACATCATCTGCCCTAGTCTGAAAGAAAAGGGAACTTTACTTTTTTTCTTCTTGTAATGTAGATTTAAAAAAAAAAGAGTGCCAAAGTCAATTTAGTGTATTGTCTGATTCTGTCTTCCTCAGGTCAGTTTTGCTACCGATGGCGATGATCATGTTTATGATTGGTTCGTTTGGACTAATACGTCAGCTACCCCACCCCAGCGACACACAGAAGAGCGCCAGGTCCTACGTCATCAAGTTCAGAAACGCCGCGCCGTTTCCCATGTACTTTGACCTCATCACCATCGAGGCCGTCAACAATCAAGGCCGTGGCCTCGACTTCGGCGATGACTCCAACATCTTCAAGAACGTTGGCCACGACGAGGCAGCAGACATGAAACCGGACGACTTTGAGCAGGTTCATAAGGTCCTGGAGGTCCCGAACGAAGAGTTTAACCTCAGGTATGAGGACGGTGACCCCGTGGGTGTCCCCGAGCAGGAGAACGCTCATCAAGAAAACGCCATCTTGCTATTTAGAAAGCACCAAGAAACAATTCTGTCTTCGAAACAGAACACGGCCTCTAGATCGTTGAACGAACTTTACGAGAAGCCGCGGCAACTAAATATACGTAATTTACGTAAACAATTTAGAAATAAACATTTACCACAAGATCTGAGCTTTAAAAGGAACAAAAGGTCTGTAAATGCTACATCGGGCAATTTACCTGATCTTGACAAAGACCTTGACCCTAAGGGTCTTAAGAGAAATAACGAGGAGAAACTAAACTATTCTACGAAGAAAATTACAGTGTCGACCATACCAACAGTGAAAATAAGCAGACGTCGTGGTTCAGTGAACGATAACTCTAAAGACAGAGTGAACGTTAAGAAAAGAGTTGCGGTTCCTGAGTCACAGAAGGACGGCAGCATCGTACCAGAGGCTAAACTCAGCTCTGCTGATGCTCTGATTGAATCTCTGCGAGATCACCCGCACGCCACGCCGTACCTGTCTGCGTTGCTTTACAACAGCAGCGAGCGCCGGAACGTGGTGTTCCTCAAAGTGCACAAAGCAGCCGGCACCACCGTGTTCAACATCATGATGAGATTCGCCCTCTCGCGCCAACTGGACGTCATGCTCCCCAACGCCTCCACCGCCATCACCGAGACGAGCTCTGTCATCGACGACAGCGCGCTTCTTCCTTACCCGGCAGACCTGAAGTTCAACATCATCTGCAACCATCTAGTCTACAATCGTCCTCAGATATCAAGGTTCATGAGATCCCCGGACAAAGCAGTTTATATCGGTATTGTCCGTGATCCGTTTGAGCAGTTCGTGTCAGCCTTCACCCACTACCTTAACGTTCTCAAAAGACCTTTACTGGTCCAAATCGCATTGGACAACCCCAGAAATCCCATCCGAGGGTTTTTGGACAATCCGCTGAAGTACGCTGACGTACCTAACTATGACCTGGGAGTGACGTTTATTAACAATAGAATGGCGACAGATTTAGGATTCCCCATGTGGAATCTAGACATGGATAAATACAGGATCGAGTTTATTAAGAACTTTTTAAAGGAAACGGAAGAGAGTTTCCACCTGGTCATGGTCGTGGAGCTCTTCGAAGAGTCTTTGGTTCTGATGAGAAGGCTTCTGAATTGGAAGCTTAAAGACATTCTTTACGTAAGGCAAAATGACGAACTCTCTGCGCAGGAGACTTTGAAGCTTCCTTGGAATACCAAAGTTGAATTCAACATGGAAGACAAAAAGAACCACAAACTTTTCTCCCCGGTCGACTACGCTCTGTACGAGCATTTCAAGGGCGTGCTTCTGGATAAAATCCAGGCACAGCCACCGGACTTTGCTGGGGAGGTGGCCATGCTTAAAACAGTAACAAAAGACCTAGCCTCCTTCTGTGAGACGGCCGAGGAAGATTCTGAGTTGTTGGTCTCGGCCAACCAGTGGACAGCGTCTTTCACAGTCAGCGTAAATGACTGTAAGATAATGACTTTAGGAGAATCGGAACTTACAGAGCTGGGACGAAAGGTTCAAAGCGACAAATACCACTGACCAAGTGACCAATAACTAAAAGACATTGAGCAAAAATTAATGGACCATTGACCAAAAAGTGATGGAACTAGTGTTAAATTTGAAAATGTGTTCTCATGTACAGTTGACCAAGTCAGTATTTGACTAGAAGTGAAGCTATAATGAAACTACATTACAAACGAATACACACTCACAGGATAACACAGACACACTAACACATAATCACACTCACACCAGGACGTTTTTGTTCGGTTGAAATATGGCACGTCAAATTCCATTTCCGCTGCTCTGATTTACTTCGTTACACATTCAAGCCATCATGTGTGTTATAAAACTTCACAGTGACATGTCACGATGACATTACTGTGTTTGACTGCAAGACACGCTTTGACCTCTATGACCTCATTAGTCTGAGGATACATTTTTTTTTTGGTTTCTTTAAATTTTAAGTGTTCATTTAATCTTCTTGTTTCTCTGAAAGAAGTTTCAAAACATTCAGATTAGTTCCTCAACATTTAGAATTGATATTTTTAGTTATTGATGTTTCTTGATAATTTCGAACTGCTGACTAGAAACCGAAAAAAGATTTTTTTTCTTTTATATCAGCTATAAAGAAATTGGCTTTAAACAATTGCCCTCACTTTCTAATCTTGCATGGTGCTTATTATGATAAGTTCATCTGTTTGTATGGCCTAATGTTATGAGGGTGTCCTGTGGCCATCACAACGATAGCCGCTTTTACTATCCCCAACCTCATATAACATACTAATTGACAGTTGGGTGAATTCCCCGAGGGGCATTAAAGAACAAAATCAAGAAGATCAAAATCCCAGTCATCATTGAGCTCAAACTCTTGCCCTCCCGATTCTGGGTCAAGCCGAGACCAATTGTTTTCGTAGGCCTGAACTTTGAACTTCGACGTCGCAACCTGAGGGTAAGTTTAGACCAATAGCTCGTTGCCATGTCACAGGTCTGACATCACGACTCTTGGACGAAGCAACGAGCTACTATTGGTCTACATTGCCCACAGGTTGCCACGTCGCAGGTCAGTATACAGGCCTTCTATAACAAGTGGTTTCGGTCAAGCGGTTAACTACGTGGTCACCCCCCCCCCCTTTCCCTTTAATCCAGTACCGTAAAACCGCTATCCCTAAAGTTTGTATTAAAAAAATATTTTCATAGTAGAGTCAATGTTGGCATTATGAAGACAACCGTAATCTAATGTGACTCAAATCGTTACATTCTAACCATGCAATTAGTCATCTGAGTTTAGTTCTGATCACTTGTAGCCCGGTAAAGGTCGGTGTTGTCTTACGTAACAGGTTCAAAGTTCATGTGCCACCTAGTGGTGAGATAATCCCCTTCAATCGTGATAATTCTTCGCTACGTCACCGATAAGAGAGACGATAATCTCCTCCCAGGGGGTTTATGGGTCTTTATCTATAAAGCTGAAGCCTTTTGGGTAATATATATATATATATAATGATGTTTTATTTAAAAAAAAATGGATGTTGGTCTGTAAGGTGTCATCGTAGCAACGGTAATGTGTTAGCTATGTCGTTGTGTGTGTGTGTGTGTGCGTTGTGTGTAGAAGTGGCTCGAAACGACCAATATGACTATTATGTTGAAGATATTTATGTATGTATAGACAGAGAGAGAGAGGGGGGGGTAATGGGGGTGGTGGCTTGGGATTCCGCTGGTCGGATCATTTGTTTTTTAGAAATGACAATACAATATTATATTAATATTGTATTATACATAATGTTTACGACATTTGCTGATCTGTCAAATAAAAATTGTGAAATCAAAGAATCGTGTTTCCCGTTTATTTCTTAGATAGCTTCAACTATAACAGCAGCAAAGAACGATACTTAAGATCATTCTAACAATGTTACTAAATGTGATACCATAACTACTTTATTCAAAGTTGATAAACGCATGATTTCTATAAAAGTTAAGTTTCCCTTTCAGACCTTGTGGTCTATTGGGCGGATGATGTAAAGGTCATCTTCAGTGCTTACGGTTAACGAGGGTGTCATGTGGCCAGAACAACGACCAACGTCTTTTAATTTTCCCCAACTGATATCAGGTTCCCATTAGAGGTGGACTGAGCGCCCTAAATAAAATCCCAGTCTTCACCAGGATTTAAACTCCGGACCCCCGGTTTTGAAAGCCAAGCGCTTTACCGCTTAACCACCGCAGATCCCATGATTATTTGCGAGAAGAAAATAATTCAAAGAAAATACAAACAATATCTAAACAAATGAATTCACAAAAACTAAAATATAACCTGATGTTGTCCCATATCGGAATCAAAATTTAAATTCTAGCAAATTGATTTGTTCTGTTACACAGGTGCACCAATACATCATTGCACGGTTACACGGGTGACTGGGATATAAGGTAGCCACATCGATCACAATATGGTTTCAATATAAAATTTGGCTATCAACAATTGTAACACGAATATCAATCATTATTCAAAGGTACATGCAAATGAAAGCAATGGCATGGGCATAGTAGGCAAAGACATGCCAAGCAAAACCATATTCTCACTTTTATATTTCCATAAACCGTTCAACATTTTTTTTATTCTCTAGGTCAGAGTTTTCCAAACTTTTCCATTGGTACATTCGGAGTATTTAGCAGAACACTTTGCTTATTTCTTAGAGAGATTAATTCTCGTGGTGGCCTACTAGTTTATTATTCCAGTAGTTCGTGGAACACCTTTTCAGGCCTCGCGGAGCACTATGGTTCCGCTGACTACAGTTTGGGAAACTGCTTAAGGGTGACTCTGAGCGAAGTCACTAGAGAGAACTGATAGTTTTAGACCCATCAATTCGGGTGAAACCAGTAGAAACCAGTGGCGTAGATAAGGATTTTGGGGGGACCGGAAGGGCTGACCTCTTTAGGACCCCCTGCATTTTAACATTCGACAAAATGACATGAGATAAAAAAAAAACACATTTGGAACACTCATTTGGGTGAACCCCTCAAGGGGAGCCAGAGAGAGATTTTCAAATTCGGAACCCCCTTCCCCACGCTAGCGACGCCACTGGTAGAAATGAAGTGCCCAAGGCACATGTATCAACGAAAACAAACAAAATGACCGACCGAAACAAAGTTTATTTTATAGTCACCACTACCATTGGTTCTATTGTGAAATGACCCCTGAGTGAAGACAAGAATTACGAGCCAAATTTGTCTTCAATCTTAAAGCTTCTAATTTGTCAATCCCTAGATCTGTGTACATGTAATAAACACAGATCGTCTGCCTACATGTCAAGTTGACTTCCTATTCGAGTGCAATTTTTTCTGAACTTAGTCACTATTTACACTTCAAACTATTTTTAATCACAGGTAATATCATAGAACAAGCCTGAATCTAGTCAATAATTAGGGCATTACGGAAACCGCCTTATAATTAGAGCAACCAGGAGCTGGAGTAAAACATCAGCAAACTAACAACATTAAAATGTAAATGTTGCATAAGTTATGCTAAAGACTATCGTAGCATTACAAAAGTAAGGTAAATACGTATAACTTTACTATGGGACAATAAGATCTTTGCGTTGAACATAAATATTGTTATAACTCTGCCATGCGCCATCTAAGCTAGAAGGTGCGCGCTGTGATAAACTAGACTGAGAAGGATGTCAACATTAGGAAGAGAAGAGGAGAACGATTTCCGCCCAAGTTGAGAGCCGAAGTGAAAAGACTGTGCCTAAGAAAGATGATGTTTTATGAACTTGTGATGTCGTGTAAATAAAGATATATGTGCCTCGTTGAGTTTGCCTCCCTTAAGTTATTACAATATAATATAATGGTCCCGCATCTTGTTTCTTTTCTAGCTCCGCCTTCATTTCATTTCGTAATTGTTGAATTTTAGAATCGACATCCTCTACCATCCGTGACCGGAGCTCAGCGACCTCATCTCTTAATTGTTGTTTGTAATCATCCATATCCTTTTTCAATCCAAACACAACGGAGTCTATAGAGCTCAGTTTGTTACCTAATTCATTTTTAAGTTCATCCTTCACTGATTTCAGGTCTTCATTTGTTCTTGCATCGTTTTTCAAAGCTCTCTCATATCCGGTTCTATTTCAAACACATAGGTCTCCGGATCCTGTTCATCATCTATGATGCTTTGCTTCAGACGCTCCATGAGCGCCTCTTTGTTGCCGCTTACCTTCAGCTCTCTGCATCTGAGTTCTCGACTAAGTTCTTGCAATGAAAGCTGACCAAGTGTTTTCGTTGACGCCATCCAGTATCCTTCGTACGTTGGCCTACCAAAACTTATGTTGGGTTATCCGAAAAAGAACCGTTCAATGTCGTCACGGTCGTGTACATAGGCCTTCTTCCAACTTTCGTTGAGAATCCCACTTCTGATACCAATTGCTGTAACTCAGCCAACAGCGAGCGCAAAGAACTTCAACGAAAGGGATATTTCAAAACACCAGTTTAATAATAGAACAATAGTACAATAGAATAGTAATGCGATAACAATTATACCACTAGAGTAACCACTAGAGTAACCAATAGAGTAGCCAATAATAGCAGCACTTCTTTCTTGTTTACATCCTAGATCTCATTATCGGCCATCTTTGACGTCCTCTCTCTTTTAGCGAGTCTCTGTCCTGTATCTCATGGTGCACAGTTTCATAACAATATCTATTCAGGGGGCCCTAAGCTATATGAGATATGGGGCCCATTTGGAGCCCTAAAAAAATTCAGATATATGTTAGTGCTAAATATCTATTCAGGGGGCCCTAAGCTATAGCGCGTGTTGCGGACATGAAAATTCGGTCCTAACAAAGAAAAATTATACGACAAATAATGATCAAGAGTAATTTTTCAGACTAAATAGAGACCAAGAATACAAAGTCTTGTCAAATACAGACAAGAAACATGTAAATATGTATATAACTAGCTGCAAATTGGTTCTTGGTGAACGGGTGTGGCGAGGAGGGGGGAGGAGCTAGCTAGGGCATGTGACCACTGGGGTGGTAATTTGCATACTTGCGAAATGAGTCTGGACCAGAAGAATGGTTTTATTTTTTTTTTGGACAATCCGATGGTCTAGAGGTTAGTTCGCATAGTGCGTTATCGCTAGGCGGTGTTGTCGTTTCCAGGGTTCGAGCATTGGTCGACGCAGTCCCTTATTTTCGTCGCACTACGCTCACTACTTTCTCTCATTTATGTTTAATATCTATGTATCATCATTTATTTCAGCACCAAGCTTCACTTCTATACCAACGTAATCTAAACAAAAACAAAGCTTCTATCAACTCACGCTGTCTGTCTGGTACAGTGTACACATTGTTTCTCCCACACCCAATCTCGGATCAAACGGAAATTTTGCACAATTATTTATTGGTCTAGACAAGACATGAATCAATACGAAACATTAACCAATTATTGAATTAATTATTTCGATTTGATATCGAATAAGGGAAATACTTCTACATTATTGATAGCTATAGTTGTAAGGCAGGAATTTCTCCCATAAGATAAGCTTTTTTTTTTTTTTAAAGTATTTTTAAAAATTTTGCTTTTTTTTTTTGGTCTTTTCCTACCCAAACCGTTAGATACATCAATCTACTTGCTATGGCTTTTCTGTCATGTAAACACATGTTTTTATATTGTCTTTTAGTTCAAGTCTTGCTAATCTTGATGCTTATTCAGTTGCGTGCAGACTCTAGCAATGTCAGAGGTGTCTTTATTGGATGAAACAAATATTGGATGACACAATGTCATCGGTATATTAATAAAAATATTGTATAGAATGGCTGTGTAAATCGATGCTGTGGTCGCGAACCAAAGTTTTCTCTTCTGGAGGTAGTTAGTAGTTGTCTCCCTTGTCTACGTTTCTGATCAACCTCTCTAGTGTCAAAATAAAATGCAAAACTAATAATACCAAAAGAAAGATTTGTGACTTGTCACGTATTACAAATTGAATTCTACTTTTAAATGGCTTACCTAGGGGAACGTGACAATAGAAAAAGGTAGTTGTGTCACTTATCTAAAGTCTGAATTTAATCAAAGACTTACAATGAATAACAAAAAAAAAATGACACAAGAAATCGGAAGGTAAAATATCAACTTAATGTTTAATCATAATATAACTCAATGCAAAATGGAAGGGTTGACCAAAACCCTTTTACAAAAATGGCATGTAAAAATATTACAATACAATAGTTTGAAAATATAACTACAAATACAAGCAAGGCCTTGAAAAAAAGAAAAAATCTTAACTTACACGATCAATTGGTATACCACGCACGGGTCACGCAATGTCTCCGCTATTCTGTCTCACGGCTGTCTCCGTATGTCTGTCTGTCAACGTTACGCGGGCGGTCTTTATATAATCTACCGCGCGTCGATCTCAAGACAAATCTAGTAATTTCTAGAACCAAATAAGTCATCAATTTCCCAGATCTAGAACGCTCTTCAAAGAGACAGAAGAAAAAAAAAAAAAAAAAACCCACCCTCCTTTCAACCAGAGGTACACATATAGGTCAAGGACCGGTCACTGTCTGTGTGGCTTGACTCACCGTGAAAAATAAAATAAAAAAAAACTTATTACACAAGGGGCAGACAACCTACAGGTCAAGAAAAGAAAAAAAAATAGTATCTAGGTAACAATGCCTAGATACGTAACACCTCCCT